CTGCTCCAAATAACTCGATTTCTGGTTCGTTGAAAAGCTGAACCATTCTCCTTTACACTTCATAATGTCAGCAAGGTGCTATCTAGTCATTTGAACGCTCTAGGTATGTCCAAACAGTTCTGCATGAATAGCTCTGTAGGACCTTCTTCAGACGGGCTACAGATGTGATGTCTCAATGAAAAATGTAGAGCAAAGACTCACCTTTCCAATGAACCAAAAATCGAGTTATTTGATTCAGAACTGCAAAAGTTATTGATGTTTGAAGATTTCAAAAACCTGTCTACAAAACAGCAGGGCATTGAGAAGAAGGTAGACTAAGTCCTTTAACACTCTTGTTGACCACCATTAACTTCATATATTGCAGATTCGGGTGAAATACAAAAAAATACTCATCATGACGCCCCAGCATCTAGGAACAAGTGTGGTATAGCTAGATTCGGGCGCCATGATTGAGGTTGGAATTTTCTATGTCAGTAGTTTTCTTTACCACCCGGTAAAGATTACATTTGGTGTAGTGAATGATCATTCTTGACGATTTTAAATGATTTATCTTCTTTGATTGTTACGTAGTCGTTTTTCAATAGGATCGTTCCACCAATTAAGCTTCTCTTTAGTGCCGGAATATGTAGGCAGTTTTCTAAATGGAATAAATGGCCTGTAGGACCGATAAAGTTTACGTCTCCTTTTCCATGAATTCTTAAAGTAGCTCCTCCTCCAGCCATATCAAGACTTTCGTCACCATCCCGGAGATCAACGTAGTCGGTGAAAACTTCACGTTCTTTGAACATGTGGTGTGTCGCCGCTGTATCGATAAGAACATGAATAGTAGTTGATTGATCATCGCTCTTGATAGTTGACAGAGATTTGATGGATACGTGGCTTGCGGATGCCGACATGGAATTAAAGGCTTGTTCGAGCTGTTCGACAGTAGGTTCTTCATTGAATTGAGTAGCCGCTGCCAAAGTGTTGTGGAGGTCTTTCGGGGGTTCACCATGCCATTGTCCGAGTTTTACACGCTGTTCGATCCATTCCCGTTGAAGATGTTCATTCCCAGGTTTCTTGAAACAACTGCTAGGATCATGACCGATTCCAGTACAACGTTTCTTGGTGCATTTGTTGTTTGATTTATTACGGGAATAGGAAGGTGATACTGCACTAGCTTCTGCTGGATGATGGACAGTAGGATTAACCTTTGGAGTCGTTCTTGTCAACATAGCTACGGCGTCGAGTCTTTTCTTAAGTTCAGCAACGGCCTTGTCGAAGTCTTTATAACCAAGGATAGCAATTTCTTTAGCATCTTGAAAGTATGAGTTGTTCAATGAAATGAGTAACTTTCGTCCCAAATCTTCATCCGACATTTGACCGCCCGCCATTTTGTATTTGGTGACTGCCGTTTGAAAGATTTCGATGTGTGATAGGAGGGGAAGATTTGGGGGCTGGACTATTAAGTTAAGAGAACGTTCTAGGAGTAACCTAATTTCTTCAGATCGACTAGAGTGATGATTAACAACCGCTTTCCATAGTTTTGCTGGCTTATTTTCGACTTCAGGACCATCGTCTTGATATTGAGTGATCTTAGGTTCGAAGCGAGATCTATTTACGTCATCCATGTTACCCAGCATCCAGGAGGTGATAACAGCTCTACAGACTTCATCACTGAACTTGCTGTTTTCCATTTTGATTTCATCAGATTTTAAGTAATTTCCCAAGAAATATTGATTTAAGCTAGTTCGAGTGAATGAAGACCATAGCATGAAGTTATCATCGGTCAATATCTTTTTTGCAGATTTATTCAAAACTTGACCCAAAGTCATGGCCTGTTCTTGTTGGTCCATGACAATCGATTGAGACATATTAGGATCTATCTTAGATGAGGATGGATTAAGATTGGACGGAAGTATAGATTGTTTAGGTTTGATAACAGAAGGTGGATTTGATAGATTAGAGGAAGATGGGTCTGGATTGGAAAGCGCTGGTTTAACTAGGGCTGATATGCTAATTTCTGTTTGATCTCCTTCACTGCCTGATTCTTTCTCAGAAGCTCCGGAGCTGGTTGTTTGTGCGAAGAATTTATCCGGGTTAAGACTCATTCGGTGTGTTGGATCAACTAGTGTCTCTCGCTACCATGTGAATATATTTGGAGTCTTGAACCACGGTCTGATAAAAGGTGCAATGTGCACAAGTGAGCTACTGTCCTCTACAAGATGTCTATACTAAAGTCTCTGACCTGATAAAAGGTGCAATGTGCACGAGTGAGCTACTGTCCTCTACAAGATGTCTATACTAAAGTCTCTGACCTGAAAGGAAGGTACAGATTTCAAGATAGACGTGATTAGTTTTATCTATTGAATGTGATAGGATCTCTGGGTGGCTAAAAGAGCAAAAGTTTCTCTTTCCAAAGATAGATTTTATTCACCTGATAAAAGGTGCAATGTGCACGAGTGAGCTACTGTCCTCTACAAGATGTCTATACTAAAGTCTCTGACCTAACCCATTGAACAACAGAAAAGATGAGTCAAAAAGAAATAGAAAAGAAATCTAATAATATTTGATCTACCTGAAAGGAAGGTACAGATTTCAAGATAGACGTGATTAGTTTTATCTATCGAATGCGATAGGATCTCTGGGTGGCTAAAAGAGCAAAAGTCTAACGGAATTATAACAGTTCAGCAACTTGATAACATAGCGAAACGAAAAAGGAAAAATGACTTACTTCTCTTTCCAAAGATGGGAAAGAGAAGTAAGATTGGGAAAACAGGAATCATATAAGTATCTCGTGATTCGTCTTCATAATTTTGATTGGGGTAATTGAACTGAACATCTTCTCTCAAAAACTAAAACGAGCACTCTTTCTTAAAACACAAACGTCACTTTCTCACAACTTTAACAGAACACATTTCCATACTGTATACTGACCCTCTTCATGTTTCGTCGATTGGAGATTTCAACAAAAACCAGACAGTTAGTTTCATCTATCAAACAGCAAATCTATTTTGATTGAGGAGTTGAAAGTCAGCAAACCTGACCAAGAATACTTTGTGGTGTGTGTGCATGCTTGCGCAAGAAATGCCCAAGACCATTACTTAGACTTGAGCACCCGTTTGGCCAAATACCAAATGCTTTGTATCATGGTTTATACCATGATCAGAAAAAACTACTGACTTATCCCATGAACGGAAAAATCAATTGATCACAATTGATTAATACAGCCGTTCCCGAAAAGGTTGCTTTTTTGAATTTTTTTTTTGGGGCGGTTAGGGCTGTTAGGGTTGTACTTTACATATTATTGTCCATAACAAGTTGACAATACACATACGATCATACCACAGTGCCAGCCGATCCACCAACCAACAAATCCACCGATTGGATCGCTTTCTCCAGTTCCTCCTCTCGATCGAAGGCTTGTTCTCCAGGTTCGTTTTCGCTCTCAACTTTACCGGGTCACCTGTTCTGCTGTTGATTCTTTCGTTCATTTTTTTGTTCATAGGTTTCCTCCGCACCCACGATGGGGTTTGTCTTGTACTCGCCCGATATCAAACTCATTGTCATCCACAAGCATCTCCGTGGACAGACACTAGACAAAATCAATCTTGATCTTACGCTGGAAGTCTCCAACGACTCACTTGCTCGATGGCTAGCTTTATTCAACAATACTCGGCGAGTCATCTCAGATCCAGATTTCTACGATCCTCGTGGCCGGCCGACTGTCTTATCAAACGAGCACCGCGGGTTTATCGAGAACGCCATTGATACTGAACCGACTATCTACCTTGACGAGCTTGCACACCAACTTTCAATTGAAAGAGGTATAGACATCTCCATCACTGCTTTAGCTTGTGAGGTACGCGATCGTCTTGGTCTAACCTTGAAGGTGGCAAAAACTGTCCACCCGAATCAAGACCCCGAAGAAGTAGGCAGGTATCTGTATGAAGTTGGATCAATTGATCCATTGTGCTTGGTCTTCATTGGTAAGCGTATTTCGTATTTGTATATTTCTTGATGTGTGATCCTAGAATTGTCAATAAATACACTTTGAGACAACAGGATCAAATTCACATTCCATCAGCAACGCTGATCAGAGCTCTGACTGGTGCAGAGGTCTGATCAGCTTGTGAACCAGTGAGGATTTACAACTGGTGTGTAACCTCACTGGTTTCGGTGGAATTGAACAAACCGTTGTCTTGAATGTATTTATTCATGACTCTAAGATCGCACATTAAGAAAGCATACCAATTGTCATATTTTCTTATTCAACTTTGAACTGACTTGGGTTTGAACAGATGAGAGTGCTTTTGCAGCTCGCAGACTTTACCGACAGAAAGCTCGTGCACCAAGAGGCCAACGTACACGACGTCTACCTCGGACTCTACAATCAAGAAAGTACTCGTTACTCCCTGCCATCTGTTTGAGTGGTTGTCTTGGAATGATTATTCAGGAAGGCTCAATTCTTCGGGAAGATTTGGAGTACTTCTTGTCGCACCATGTGGTAGGTACCATCAGCATATTATCTTTATCTTTGATAATAATCTGATATCTCGCGTCTTCCATACCAGCTTCCTATGATGAATCCTTACCCAGCTGAAAACAGTGTCCTTGTTTTGGACAACGCACCGGTTCATCATGGTGGTAATATTCAAGAACTGTGCGATCAATTTGGTGTACGATTACTTTACCTACCTGCGTATGGCCCCGAGTACAATCCAATCGAGAAATCTTTCGATATCATCAAGGCTCACCTTCAAAGGAGTGGCGAACTTCTTAGATACTACTATGACGATGGATGAGGAAGCAGAGGTCATCTATTGTCATGGTGAGTACGCACTGACTACCCGAGCTCTATCCGTTCTCTTTACCATGGAGTATATCTTTGAAAAGTAAGTTCATTCTATATGAGATCCGATCTATATTTCTATAAACTGATCTATACATCGAATGTATTTCCTTTGATTGA